ATCTTTGGTAGCAAGTCAATAAAACCACATTAGTTTCTGGAAATACGTTAAAATAAAATTTTTAGAGCTCTCAATAGTCAAAGCTGCAAAAGGCCCTTTTTTGACGGCTTGCGAAAACGACAATTTCAAAAGTTGTGCTAAAACACTCATTGGACGGCTTTCTGAAATTGGTTAAAATTACTCTTACTTTCTTGGTTGATATTGCTCAATTCCAGACCAGAACGTTGAAAACTCCGTTTGATTTCTTCTAATAAGATGTTTGGCAGCAGAAAAACATAAAAACATCTTGCACTTATGAATTTTCTTCGCCGTGGTGACTTCAAACTTTTTAGCGATTTTGTTAGCGTGACAGCCGAATTATGCAAATTATCTAAGGAGGAAACCTGAACCCTCCCTAATGCAAAACTAAACATTACCTACCGCCTACAATCGAATTGAAATACACGTAAAGAAAATTGGTATAAATTAAAAGAAATGTATCGTAGAAGAAAGCACAAATACCAGCTGCAAGTCAGCTTATAGTCTCCACGACAACTGCTAAAATGTTAAAACACTAATTTCCTGCTATTTTTAGAGCCGCACCAATTAACACTTTTTAGAAGTAAAATTAAAAAATTGAAATTAAAATTTATCTAACTCGTGCTGAAATAAAATTTGACGCTGGAACCAAATTGAATAGATCGTGCGGATAATCTTGTAAGGTTCATAAAATCTGTCACACGCGGGTCACTTTTGTTGTTCAATAACTTCCTCTAGAATTGATCTGTTACGTGATAACATTTCAGTTGCACCGAAAAGCTCCTAGAAAACACCGTTGCCAAGAAATGTTAATACTTTTCAACCACAGTGGTTTGTTGTTCAATAACTTCCTCTAGAACTGATTATATACTGTGACATGATAAAAGATCCTCAAAACTATTGTAACTAAACGATGTTTCCGCAATGTTTCTACAATATCTACGCAATGTTTGTACAATGTCTACACAATGTCTACACAATGTCTGCACAATGTCTGCACAATGTCTACACAATGTCTGCACAATGTCTACACAATGTCAACACAACTGAGTTGAAAACGTAAATTGACCACCGTCTGAAACTTTAAAAACGAAACGGCTTTAATATTCTCTACGTTGGTCAATGATTGACTACCACTGAATGATAATATTAATGCTTATTTGGCTCAGTTATAATAATAAATGGTGCCTTATCCAATCACGTCAGTCGCACTTGGTGGACTTTTAAAGGCTTTTAAGGACTCTTCGCCTATTTCATACTCTCTATGCAATATGTGTAAGATAGCGCTTAGAATTCCCGCTTTCCTTCGCCGTGTGACTGAGCCTTTTTCAAATGGATTAAGAAAGATGTACCGCCAGTTACAGTGTTGCATTTTCTCACCGGAGCAACAATCAGGCAAGTTTTAATACTTCTAACTTTCATATCAAAAGGCTAGCTTTAAAATGCAATTCTGAGGAAAATGTTGACAGGTTGACATGACTTCGTAACTGTCGTAATTTGTTGTAAATTGTCGAAAATCGCAAATATAACACAAACCGAACAAAGTTGTAATGGGAAATTAACGCATTTTTCCTCTTTACCTACACCTATAAAAAGTGATAAACTCTTTACTTTGGAAGGCAGCCGACATTTCTCAGCTCTTGAAAATATTTACCTCTAGTCCTTACATATTAAACTATAAATAAAAGATATACGTTCCAGTGGGTTTGTTATCCTAAAACAGCCGAAGTGCCAAGATAGACCATGAACGGCGTTTGTTTAAATGGCTGTTGCTGTGAAATCAAATTATTGTCGAGAAGGATTTAAAATGCACATTTCACTTAAATTATAATTCCAAGAGACCCCCCTGGGAGTGCGTTGATATTCGAGATGACATCTGAGAGTTCATAATTGAGCAGGTATGCTGGAAGAGTGTCGTACTCTCGCACCTGCTCAATTATTTAGATATGTTTCTATTCCTTAAGTCTCTTTAACTGCTGTAAATTCTAACGAGCCTTAAAACATCAACTGTTCCTTCGCCAACGACCAACCAACAGGCGTAGTTTTCTCTATTCCCTATTTTCGAAATGGTAGACATTCGGGACAGTGAATTACTCATTGTAAAACAGGAAAACTGACAGCTGCACTGGATAGAGGCCCAGCGTAAAGCGGGCGTCAGTCCCCGTTTTATTATACAATCATGTAAACAACAAGAGAAAATTGCAATGTTGACAACAAAATCTGACATACAGCCTATGATCGCTGGTATTAGTTATAAATGCGTGCCTGCTGCCCGTCAGAAACAACCCCCTTTACACTGCAGAGAACACAGGAGAAAAAACACTTAATGATGTCGCAGATACTACTTGAATAAAGCAATACTACTCAATTTTTTCATGTTTTTATTACTTAAAATTTCATTACACTTCTATTTCAAATAAACGAAGCGAAGCCGGTTCAACATGAAAAAGTAAAAAAAAAACATTTTCTTCTTTAGAACAGTTTTAATAACTTCGCAAAAAAAATTTAAATTCCAGTATTTTATTCAGAAGATCAAAATTTTAAATCAATCATTTTCTGTTCACCTACAATCAAATTGAAATACAAGTAAAGAAAATTGGTATAAATTAAAAGAAATGTATTGTAGAAGAAAGCACAAATGCCAGTAGCAAGTCAGCTTAGAGTGAATATTTGCCCTATGAAATCCCGCCTCGTCTTCATGACAGCTGCCAAAAGGTTATAACCGTGGAAACAATAATTTGCTGCTATTCTTAGAACCGCGCCAAATAACACTTTTAGTTTTTCCAACTCGAGCTGAAACAAAATTGGACGCTAGAACCAAATTGAAGAGCTCGTGCGGACAATCTTGTAAGGTTTCGTAAAGGTTTATTTTCGGGCTTTCTTTCTACCGATTCACTCACATTCAAGAAGCGATCATTGAAGCACGTGGCATGAATCAATCACAAAAATCTGTAACACGCGCTACATGTTTGTTGTTCAACAACTTCCTCTAGAATTGATCTGTTGCGTGATAACATTTTAGTTGCACCGAAAAGCTCCTAGAAAACAACGTTGCCATGCAATTTTTATACTTTTCAACCACAGTGGTTTGTTGTTCAATAACTTCCTCTAGAACTGATTATATTCTGTGGCATGATAAAATTTTGGTTGTACCTTAAAAAGCTCCTCGAAAATATCGTTACTAATCAATGTTTACACAGTTCGACTGAAGTGGTTAGCAATTGAGCACAATATAATTTCTTAATTCAGGCTAACGCATTATCTTCCTCAATTTTTTGATGAATGATACTTAAAATGGATTGAAATACAACATTGATCACGGCTCAAATAATTATTCAAATCAAATGCCAATCATGCTTAAGGAAATCTTTGGACAAACTAATAGAGTGAATTCCTAGAACCCGTTTGTTATAAATAATCCCACACGTATCAGTTAAAAAGTAACGCATTTGGCACTTACTTTATCTTTGAGTGTCGCAACAATAGATTCAGCGATCCAGAGACTTTAATTTGACCTTCATTTACGATAAAGTAAGCGGGAAATGATAGAAAACACTTATTGTTTATCAAACTTTCGCAGACTTGACATGTAACGATAAGTATGTTGATGTTAATTTTTAGCCTTGACAAGTTACTGAGCTAACAGTATTCCCTCCGGAGAAAAGCTTCCCCTTCAAAGTTCAAACTGGAAGGTGCTATTTCGTATTCAAAATTAACTAGTAAATAAAGGCCAACTCCTCCCTCTGATTTATTTATGCTATGATTAGAAATATAGTTGTAGCCCGATATTTCAACCAGATCTGAGGTAGTCTCATTTAACCATGTCTCCGATACCCCTATGGTTGTGAATCTGTGATTAATTATCTCTAATAGTAGGTAACTTTCTCAAAATTTTCATGAAGTGTCATGAAGTGTCAAAAAATGTCATCAAGACACACAACTATGCAAATTAGGCGTAAGAACATCAGATTTTGATGACCCATTATTAGGAAGCTGCTCTATAACCCAGATGTCTAACGATAACATTTCAAAAAAGAACAGCCCTTCCATTAGTATTTCTACAAAATAAGCCGATTGATATATTAAAAACGGGATCATATAGAAACAACTTGAAAACCTTTCACATTCCGTAGTGAACTTCTGAGTATTGTCTCGTTCAAGGTCGAGCATCCCCGAGGCTAAAATGCCCCACCCATATGGTGCCTCACCAGTCCGAAGTTGACAAAGTTGACAACAATGTTGACTGACGTTTCTTTGTTTAACTTTACCTGTTGGCTCAGTTTTAACAATAAAAGGTGCATTATCCAATCAAGTTCAATCGCATAGGGTGGACTTTTATAGAGGACAATAGGCCTTTTGTATTTCACACTCACTGCACAACATGTGTCAGATGGCACTTAGAATTCCCGCTTTCCTTCGCCGTGTGACTGAGTCTTTTTCAAATGGATTAAGAAAAATGTACCGCCAGTTACAGTATTGCATTTCCTCACCGGAGCAACGATCAGGCAAGTTTTAATGCTTTTAACTTTCAAATCAAAAGGCTAGCTTATAATTCCGCCATGACCGTTATTGCGTAAGATAATCATCTCACAGCTGGAGCTTGGGCCGCCTGTGATACAACACAACAGTTCGATTCACAGGCGGTGAATCGAACAAAGTTGTTATGGGAAGTGAACGCATTTTTCCTCTTTACCTGTACCTTAAAAGTTGATTTCTCTGCGATTTCGTCCAAAGTGATAAACCTATTTACTTTGGAAGGCAGCCGACATTTCTATTTTCCTTGTTCAGCTCTTGAAAATATTTATCCCCGGTCCTTACTTATTAAACTGTACATAAAAGATATACGGCCCAGTGGATTTCTTATCCTGAAATTATGCTAAAGAAGGATGTAACATGCATATTTCACCTGTGTAATAATCCCAAGGGACCACCCTAGGAGTGCGTGGACGTTCAATTAGATTAATGAATGCGAAAGAACAAAGTCTTAATCTACAAATCTACTGTAAAAGTATAATGAATTATATCAGTTTACCAATTGGAGATCATTCTGACGCCATCACTCAAAAAGAAATCTACAAGCGTAAAAAGATTTTCATACTTGTACAAAATAATACTTGAGCAGGCGTGTAGCATTGTACTCTCACACCTGCTCAATTATTTGGATGTTTCTGCTGTGTTTTCTAACGAGCCTTTACACATCAACTGTTCTTTTGCCATCAAAAAATTGGACGCTAGAACCAAATTGAAGAGATCGTGCGGACAATCTTGTAAGGTTTCGTAAAGGTTTATTTCCGGGCTTCCTTTCTACCGATTCATTCACATTCAAGAAGCGATCATTGAAGCACGTGGCATGAATCAATCACCAAAATCTGTCACACGCGCTACATGTTTGTTGTTCAACAACTTCCTCTAGAATTGATCTGTTGCGTGATAACATTTTAGTTGCACCGAAAAGCTCCTAGAAAACAACGTTGCCATGCAATTTTTATACTTTTCAACCACAGTGGTTTGTTGTTCAACATCTTTCTCTAGAATTGATTATATACTGTGGCATGATAAATTTTGGTTGTACCTTGAAAAGCTCCTCGAAAATATCGTAACTAAACACTGTTTACACGGTTTGACTGAAGCAATTGAGTACAATATCATCTTTTATGTCCCTGTTCAAAGAAATATATTGAAAAGTATCATTTACGTAACTATAAAAGCTAACCATTGCCACGGCAGGAATAAACATAATCTAGAAATTAGCACGATCAAAGAAATCAGTACTTACTTCTGGGGCGGATCGTAATTTTTTAGTTCGGGTTAGCATACTATCTTCCTCAATGACAGTGACACTGCGAGGCTGCACTTTTTTGCTCTTACCACATTTTGACGTCATCTGTGATCTATTACTGAACAGACGCACGGCAACTGGGAATCTATTTGTTAAATTGTTTTTTCTATCCAAACTTGCCTCCGATTTTATTTGTTTTGAGTACTCAAGTAATTATAAGTAGGCACTGGTGAGCTAAATTAGCGAATTGCGAATTTGAATTGTAATGTATTGGGAGTCATGTTCTGTTTAGTAATGTAATGTAAGTTAACATTACGCTGTAAGTGATGGTTACTAAGTGACAGTTAGTATAAGTAAGAAATAAGTACTGGTGACTAATCCAATAAATACAGTAATGTAATAAATAAAGTGATGTCGAGTGATGTAAGTAGAGTAATGTAATGTAAGTTTAGTTCTATACAAATATTTCTTTTACTTGCGTGTTGTTTTGTAAATAACACAGTAACGTATTTCAACTTGTTTGAGTGTCCTTTTAAGCAACGTGATATGTTTGTAATGACTAAAGTGCCGAACTTTATTCTTCAATTTTGATCTTCTCCACACTGTGCGTAGTTCATGACCTTAGATTTCAAGGAAAATTATCGAGAAAGTCACGCAAGCGCGCAAGCGTTATAACCGATCACGTTTACGCAACGTTTTAGGACAACTCGGCATCTATTCTCCATTCAGCTGTTATAAAAACCTGAAATCCTCAACTTAGAAGATAAACAAACGAAGTTTGAACGGTCAGAAGGAGGAACTTGGTCGAGTTTCAAAATTATTAATCAGATCTTCGACACGTGCGTAATTGAGCAAATACATGGATTTGCGTTGTTTTTAAGATGTTGGTGGATGAAAGCCACAGATGTACCCGGGTTTGAGACAATCGGTGACCTCATCGGTGTATAAATTATGCACTGATAGGCTTTTTTAGCTCGATTAACGCCTGCAGTTTGAGAATTCTTTCATACAAATGGATGAATTTTGATATGCAAATTAGGGTTGAAGAAAAGGGTCTCTTCTGATCACGATGGTATGAAAAATATCTCAGCTTGTTCGTTTTGGAACGCCTTTTTTAAATTTTATTCTTTAGTTTGATTATTTACACTTTGATTAATGATTACTTGAATCATCTTTTTTGGTATCCGTAATTATATAATTACGTTACATAAGTTAGATCGCGTTACACGTTCGATAAATGTGTCCTGATTGTGTCAAGTTTTTGCTATTTTGCTGTGAAGAGAGTACCATCGTGCTACGCTACAAAACATTATCTTTGCTATCCAAGCTATCATTTAGGAGCTTCACCAAAGTAAGTTATGTCGTTTTCTGTTTATGTTTCACATTATGTTTGTGGCGACGCAAAAAAAGAGAATTGGAGAACAACTAAACTATTTTTGAAACATGTGTCCTAAACCCTTCCCATGAACAGAAAATAAAAGAAAACTTTTTTCCAACGGGAAGTCGAGAGGACCGCTCTTGGCGAGACCTTAAATATTCATATTTTTTTGTCTCTTTGCGATCACCGGGGTAACTACTTCTACGAATATAAAAAACATATGCTGTTCTTCTACTTCAAGGGGATGTTTTTGGAAATCGTTCAAAATTTTGCTTAGCAACTTCTTTAAATTGTCCTAGTTCAACAGTCACTATAATTGTGGTCCATCAAAACATAGGCAACTTCAGTTGCTAAAAACGGTATCTGGTACGTTTCATTTGATTACACAAATAAAATTTCCGTTGACTTCCACTACTGTACTTTTCATCTCTGGGAAGTAAGTTCTCCTCCACCTTCTGCGTGTACGCGTTATGCAAATTTTGTTCTATTTTTGAAATGCAGAAAAAATTGATGTGCAGAACAAATTGATGATTTATTTACTTCCTCCCCAAAATAGGTCGATGAAAAAAGTAAAAAGCAAAGAAATACGCTCTTAATCAGGTAATAAAAGATTGAAATAAGAGATTGTAAGTAGTTTTGTGCACGAATTGTCGGGATCTCGGCAAAATAAACCTTATAGAAACGAGGGCAGAACACATTGCTTTTTTTCATTGGTTAAGATTCCGCGACTGTACGTAGGCGAGACACCACTATGCAAATTAGGGGCTAAACATACTATCAGAAAGGACGCTATTCCAGACTAACGATTGCACTTCACAAAAGAACGGCTCCTGAATTAACACTGCCTATCTGAACAACACCCCTGATTTGTATTTCATACTCGTTGTACAACATGAGTAAAATAGCGCTTCGAATTTCAGCTGTCCTTCGATGTGTCACTCAGCCTTTCTTAAATGGATTAAGAAAAATGTACCGCCAGTTACAATGTTGCCTTTCCACAGCGGAGCAACGACAAGGCAAGTTTGTTTAATGCTTTTAACATTCAAATCAAAAGGCAAGCTTTTAAATGTGACTCAGAGGAACATATCGACTTAAATGAGGTATTGCAAAATGAAACGCAGCATTTGATCACACGCTTTCTGTCCACGCAGCTCCCCTAAAATGCAATTACAGCTGCAAGCTCCGTTTTGATCTTACAATGACCACAGTTACAGGTGCTTCTTTTGCTTCTCAATGACTACTTCGCACTGTCGTAATTTGGTGATATGGCTCGAAGTGTCAGTTAGAAATTCATTTTATCTTGTGATTCACGAAGCTTCGGACTACATCCGTATTTTCAAAATCCACAGGACAGCTTTTTCCTTTGGCCGAAGTCTGAGTATTATTGGTTTAGTTTCTAGAAAGCCACAAAAACGAACAAAAAAGTGAGAATCGCAAATATAACAAAAAAGTTTCATACCTTAAATACTACCTTGTTTAGGTCTAAGTCAGGGGAATTCGTTAACCGTAAATGGCTAAGCGGCTCTTTCCTGATTGTGTTTAAAACATTCAACTTTTCATATAACGAACTTCATGAAAACTCTTGTTTTTCGATGTTGGAATCTGTACTATGTAGCAGGAGTTGTTTGTTCTGCTCGGACCAACAGCTTTGAAACTCTTAACGGTGCCCAATTTACATTATTAACTCATTTGATTATATGCCCGATTACCTTTTATACTCTTTCATCGACACAACACCAATATCAAAGCAAACTTAACCCCTTTATTCATGCCGCTGTTTGGTCTGATCGTGCTTGGCTGTGTCCATTTCCTTTCTTTGTTATGAGTGCGGCAGGCACCAATCTCATATCGCCTTTTGTTTACCTAAGAGCCAATACTTGTAAAAATGATTTTATGACTTAAATTGATTTGTTTTGAAAATCTTAGAAGCAACCAACAGGTGTCACAGTGATGAAGTGTTAAGTATGAATCTAAACGATTTTAAGAAAATTGTTTATCTAGAGTAAGAAAGATGGTGAATTTTGAGACGGTGATGAAATAATGCATTTTTTCCGTCTAGTCACGAGCGTAGGACGAGTACAAAATTGTCCATATTTCGTGCAGTATTTACTGACATGAAGCTTCCGACATTGCTAATTACAGGTTTCAGTTCCTTGCTTGCCCTCAGAATTTTTTTCCTTATTTTTTAACGCTTGTAGCAATATAAAAAACACATTTCTCATTTTTTTCTCTCGTTAACATCGTCGAAGCATATGTCAGTGCGACTGCTTCAATGTAAATGAAGTCTTTTGAAAGATCTCAGAAAATACAAGTGTCATAGGGATGAAATGTGAGGTTTAAATCTAAAGATAATGAGAAACTTCTTTTCCAGAATCTAAGCTGAATTTTGCCGAAATAATTTTTTTTCTTTTCGCCATGTCACAAGTATTTACTGACACCAAGCTGTCAACATTGTATATTTTAGCAGGTTCCTCGCAAGAAATCATATCGTTTTCCTTGTTTAACGCTTGTAACGAGATGGCGGTAAAGTAAACGGCAAACGTACATGACCTGTTGTTTAATCCGGTCCAAGATCTAAACATATTTTTTAAATTTAGTGAATATAGCGGATCTTACACCGATTCAGACGTCAAAAATCAAACGTTGTTAAGGTAGTAAGGTAGAACTTGGGTACTCGCTGATCGCTCGCTGGAAGGCGGTAAACTGCGACGTCAAATTGTTCGGTGGCTGTTAATAAGAGGTCAACACATCGAGATCATGAAAATTCAGTGTCTTGCCCTGTCCAACCTACCATAAAAAGTGAAACTCTTGGGTGTATAGCATGCCTATGTTTTTTACATTTTTCTTTTTTATGATTTTTCCTTTCCCAGACGATGAAAGAACTGGCAGGAACGGCTGCCTCCTTCAAGATGCTGGAGCAGGTGTTTCTGGCAACCCTCATGAGCCCAACTCGGTAAGTGAAATAATTATGGTCATAGATTGATTGATTGTTCATTTTCCAAAATTTAAAATTAGATAGTACCTAGTTATGGGAAAATCAGTTGTATTATTTTGTCAGTTATTTCTGGTTGAATTGGAATTTGGAATCTTAGCTCTTTGAAGGGAAACAGAAAAACTACAATCTACCAAACTGATATTTTTTTTTACCCATAAGTGTTTGATTGTTTCTAGGGTATATGGGAGTTGTTTTGGCTTATCTCTGATGCACTGTTAACATCTTGTTTGCCAGACTCATGGGAATCGAAATCAGAAACTGTGTGAAGCGGTAAGAAAGACCTCCAGCTTGGCAAGTGCAGCTGGCGAATTAGCAAACGTGAGTGAACAGCTGGCTTCAGAGTTTGAAAAGGAGATTGGGAACATGAATGTGTTCACCGCATTGAAGAAAGCGATTAACCTTGAGGTAAAGTGAAATTGTCATAAGGAAGAAGCGATTAAAGGCTTACTCATTTTGTTTGTTAGTCTTGTCTAAATAAAACAGCAATTAATTGTACTAGTAATCACGCATAAACTGCCCTTGAATGAATGTGTTTAAGTTCCGCTATGATTAAAATTTGCTTCTAAGGATTTCCAAATCCTTCATATACCATTTTAACAGCAGCGAATTGTGACCTCACAAACAGACCACACTATGTGATGATCGTGGTTAATAACTGTTGACATTAAACAAACAAAATCTATACAACTGTATAGTTAAATGAAAGGTTAATCAATGCATTAGTGGTTTATTTTCACCCTCACGCGCGGTTTGAAGCGTCTTCTTACGAAATTACTTTTGGCCCGAGGTCATTGAGAGAAGAAATGGAGACTCTCATGCAATCTTATAGATATCATTTTGACAGCAGCAAATTGTGACCCTCAGAAACCTCAGGCCTCTCTTTTTTTAGCTACATTCATAGTCTTTTATATGACTATTTGTCATTTACCTTTAAGACCTTCATGATGTGGTAAATAATTAATATTTTACACTGTTCCCTCATAATAGGGCATTTCTCAATCCAGAGTCAAAGAACTCTTTATGCCTGGCAGAAAGAAAGGAAATTCCCCATGGAATCACTGAGAACTCAAAGTGGATATATAATATAATTGTTTTTAATGAGACAATAATTGTAACCAAGTCACGACTGGCTTCAGTTTTGTATCTCACTGACTGACATGGCAAGAGGTCATTAAACTAACCATAAAATATAGTGAAATCCTGAATTACATTTCACTCTAAATTAAACATTTCTAAAATGTAAATTAAAAAAGAAAAAGAAAGATAGGATTTTCTTCTAAAATACAGGTAGCTTATTTCACAACTTTTAGTTTACAATAAGTAGTATAATCTTGTGCTTTTGGGTATACTACAAATTTTATTAAAATATGTTGATTTATTATAGTGTCAAAAATATGGTGTATTTTGTTTCTAATGCAAACTTCATTCAGAGTAAAATGTTGTTTTTTATTGATCAATGTTCAGACCAGATTGTTTTTGTTTAAACAACCCATCCCAACCACCACATAGCCTCTCAATCTCCATGGCAACACCAATGGTTAGACAGTCATTATCCTTTGCTGCTGCCACCTGAATTCCAAGAGGTAAACCTGCCTTTCCCAGCCCAACAGGACACTGAGTTACAGGGAAATAAAGAACATTAAAAATAGCTGTGTATGAGAAATTAAAAGGAAATAACAAGGGAATGCAATGGTTGACAGCCACTGATGGGTGAGAGGGATAGATTAAGACTCCATCTTCCCCTAGAATACCTTCAAGTTCCAGTCTTAGCTCCTCAGCCATTTGAATGAAAGACTCTGATACCCTTTTAGGTGTTAAACTTTCAAATTTTTCCAGCATGCCCAAACCAATTGCAGGAAGTGTGTGATTAGAGAGTCCAATACAAGCTTTCAAAAGTTCCCAGAAGGGATTAACTTCTGACACTTGGTTACCCATGTAATAACAAAATGACTTTTGTGCTCCAGAAGACATCATCGATGACCAAATCTCAAGGGAGTTTGAAAGTTTTTCAATTTTAAGTTTCACTACTTCCACACCAAGTTTTTCCTCAAGCTGTTGACAGACATATTGCTGGGCCTGCTTTAGTTCAGGATCAACATTTGATATCAAAAAGTGTCCTCCACAATCCTCAATGCTAAAATATCTCAGCTTTGTAACATCTACATCCCTTGCAAGATTCAATTTTGATGCTCCTTGATCTCCCGCCATAACCTAAAAGTTAAAAATGTGATTTTAGTCTTCAAGCATTTTGGTGAATAGCTTACCAGAGAAACTAAAGACATCACATGTTCAGCTGAACATGTAGACCTTAAAAGCTTATACCTAGTTACTGATGACAACACTAATATCATTATAACCAGATGAGTGTTCCAACATGAAGGGAGAGAGGACTGGTGCTAGCTCTTTGATATGCACCCAACCAAGTATGGTTGCCATGAGCTTGTAGAAAGCATAGCAGCTTCATTGCCCTCCCATATCACAAAAAATTTAACAAAGACCACCTAGACTTCACAAAATCAAAATGCAAGTGTAATTTCCAAACTTTTTACAAAATTTTTTATACTGTAAAATATTTCTAAGCCCCCAAAACAGTTTGCACTAAATTTTCTTGTATTACTTGTTCACACTGAATTACCCTTCTCTGCACTGAATTAAATCTCTTATTTATATTGTTACCTGAAAATGCATTTCTCTTAGCCAATGAGAGGTAAGAATTTTTTCATTTTATACTAGTGATTTAATCAAACATAGTTAGTGTTTTAGTAAAGCATCTAAAAGTTGCATACCGTTAGAAGAGGTTTGAGGTCCTCTGCATATCGGCACATAGGCCCTGTGCACAAGAACTGCTGTCTGTTACCTGATGCATCAGGAAACTGACCAGCATTGGGTATAATGTCTGGACTAGGCTTGTGTCCAAATATTCCAGTGAAAAAGGACGGCATTCTTATACTGCCACCAATGTCTACAAGAATAATGATTAAAAATAAGAGATAACAGATTGATTGCAGAACAAATTGATGTTTAATTTATTGACTGATTGCAGTTTGTTTGAGTAAAGTTTGGTTTAGATGAGTGTTTGAATTTTTATGTTTATGAACAAAGGAAAGGGATGACCAAATGATTGATCAATGTATAGCCCCATGGATGAATGAACGAGCAGAGACAAAAACAAAAATAAATAAATAAGTAGCAAAGAACTGAACAAATGAGGAAAGACTACCTGAATGACTGTCTGACTCAATGGCTGACTAGCCAATTAATTGACCGGCTAACATATTGACATAGGGGGTAGGTTTCTAAAGAAGCTGTGGTGTTGTGTCCGTGGGAGGGTATAACAAGGTAATTTGGTATTATAAACTGATTGGATGATGTAAATTGACCACCTTTAAAAGTTTCGAAGCTAAACTCTTGACTCTTAAAGGTAGAAAACTTGCATTATCAACTCAGTTGATAATCCCAAATTACCTTGACTAGTAGACTGATTGGTCAGAACACTAAGACAAAGGGCTAACAATCAAAACATCAGCTTTGAAACTCTTTATGGTGGCCAATTTACATTATCAACCCAATTGATAACACTAAATTACCCTGTTATACTCTCCCACCGATGCAGCACCACAGGTTCTTTAGAAATTTACCTGCTTGATTGATTGACTGACTGATTGACATGAATGAATGAGCGAGTGAGTGAATGCAATAACAATTTTAACCTGATCCTACGCCGAATACTGATCCAGCTGCTCCAATGATAGCGCCCTCTCCTCCAGAGCTACCCCCAACTATTTTGGACCTGTTAAATGGATTGCTAGTCCTTCCATAAACCCGATTTGCTGACTCCCACCACATGCATAATTCACTGCAGTTAGAAATAGCTATCGGGATAGCACCAGCCTGTCGTAAACGACCCACAACAACTGCATCTTCTTCGGCTATGCAGTCTTTACGAGCCACGAGACCACCACTATTAGGCAAGCCTCTGACCGCAAAAGCTTCTTTAGCGGTAAATGGCACACCCAGGAGAGGTTTCTCGTTCTCCAGTTCGTCTCTCTGAATTTGAGTCATCTTATGAAGTTCCTCGTCGACCTCTCTCGCCTCAGCCAAAGCCTCTGAGAAACGATTAGCGACCACTGCATTGATGCTACCATTGACTGCATTTATCCTGTCAATGAATACTTGCAAAAGTTCCTCAACACCAATTTCTAATCGGCGAATTTTTGATGCAAGTTTCGTGGCCGGAAGTTGTAAGTAGCTATGAATGGGTGCCTGGAACACACTGTTACTAGACATAATTTCCTCTCCTCCGCTCTCGATTCACAAATTGTTCCTAAATCGCTTATATTTCTTTACAGAATGAGAGTCTCTCTGAGATCAGTTCACTGAAAAATAAGGGGAATGTTGTTGTCCACAGTAAGAAGTTAAGAAATTTTCGTTATCTTCTTCAGCTCCAAATTTTTCCCATCGTTCCAAGAAAACTCCAATATTCCCATGAACCATTGCTGGCGGACAATCAATGGCGGAAGCCGGCAGCGTGGAAAGTCTATGAAATTTGCTCGGTTGATTTCATCAACCTCTGGAATTTGGACTAAAAATAGCTCACAGTTTCTTTTAAATACTTTCTCACAAAGATTTTTCGCCAGATTGAATTCTAGCGCCATGGAAAATCAGGGAAGTGCAACTGCCAACGGCGCGGTGGAGAAGACCGCCAGTCAGCTCAAGAAAGAGGCCCAAAGGCAGGCAAAGTTGGAAAAATTCGCCAAAAAGAAAGAGAAGGAGGCAGCTCAGATGGAGGGTCAGAACCAGGTAATTTTATAGCTTCCTTCAATTTGACCCTATTTTTTAAAGGATCGAGGCTCTCATTGTAAACATGAGAAGTTTTAGTAAGTTTCGGGGGAAGAAAACTACCACGATCGGAGTACAATCCTCGACCACGATGCACGAATATTTGAAATGTGACTATTTTTCGTACCAAGTGATTGAATAATAGAAATTTTGCGGATTATTGCTAAGTCCTAATTTACTCCGGAATGGCTGCTGCAAAAGAACATCCTTGAAGTCCCCACTTGTAAACAGCTTTCACAATATTGCATCAGCCCTGTGAATGGGGGAAGGGGGATTTTGGAGGGAGGGGTGGGTCATCCTTCTTAACTTGAACCCATAAAAATGATAGGGAAGGGGTAACAGTGTTTTGTCTTTTTAGGAGTTTTACTTGTACAGGGTTTATTCTAGTGAACCCAGATACTTTTAAGTTGCTAGGTCTCTCCAAACGCATCCCAGAAGTGATTATCATGTAAATTCTCCTGCACACAGGTAATAAGAACACTAAAATTTATAAAGTAGAAGTTATTGTCTTTCTCTGACACCAAATTCTCTAAACTAATTTTCAAGGAAATGTGAAGCAGTTAGAGGGGAGAATTGATAATCAGATCATGGGAGTTAAAGGGTTAAGGTAATGTAAGGTTAGTGATAAGAACTTAAAAATCTATAAGAATTACCATGTATATTTATATAATATTTATATTTATAATATTACTATAAGAATTACCATGCATATTTCATATTTGCAACTTTTATTTCATATAGAAAAAGAAGGATAAAAAGAAAAAAGAAACAACCAAGAAAGTTTTTGTGTATGACAAACCAACAGCTCCAGGAGAAAAGAAAGGTGAAATATTTGATTGATGTAACTTGTATTTTTCTGATAGCGCATGTATACTACACTGAGAATTCAATAATAATGTCATTACATAGTTTGTAATTAACTATCGCAGCATTTTCAAGTTGAGCCTTCTCAATAAGAAACTTGTGAACATTTGAAGTGTGAGAGTTATGTATATGGCCTCATTTGTCATTTATCAGAATTGTATGGGCTAGCCCAATGGAGGATTTAAAAAACTTGTTTTCATTCTTGTTGTATTAAATGTAGATGTCAGTGGAGTTATGCCTGATAGTTACAGTCCTGTTTATGTGGAAGCTTCTTGGTATGCTTGGTGGGAAAAGGAGGTAAGCAAGTATTGGAACTAAAGCTTTGACTTGAAATTTTTACTGCAGTTGGAGCATGATAATCTGTGTAGGATGTTTGGAGAGCACTTGAAAATTTTGTCAATTGGGTACCACTTATAATTTACTAGTGCTCTGCCAACATTCAAAATGAATAATTACTTGGCCAGTAAACCAAAAGAGGGATGGGTCTTTTGTTTTTATAGAGTAGCTATTGTAATGGGATTATAAGCACATTCAGTAAACAACAGGTTTTTGACTCATCAGAATTCAGTTGTGTAGCGCAGTATCTAATTTTTTTCCTAATTGACAACAATTGCGGAGCCTGAGAGAGATTGTTTGTAGTAAGTTGCATCATTCAATCAGATGATTATCTTGTCTTTCATCTTACTTGTTTCCTCTTCAGAAACATCAACAAGTTTTAGGGTGGATTAATTTAAAACCAGGGCCTTATCATATCAATTTCCTAAAACAGTCATATTTCAAGAGTTCAGATACAATACGAAAAATTAACAACTTGATAAGATATGTTTACAATATATTACATGTACCTTTTCACTGAAGGCATGCAATTTTATTTCCAGGGATTTTTCAAGCCTGAATATGGGGTAAGATGAGTCCAAATTAATTATTAAACTTTTTTGCTACAAACTCAAAATGACACAGTTTACTAGTTGTGAACTTCCTTTTTTGTTCTTTGATTTTCACCCATTTAAACATTGTAATATTGTTTGTATTTTTCGACTTGAACAGCGCAAGAGCCTTCAAGAGCCCAATCCAAAAGGTTTATTTATGATGTGTATTCCTCCACCCAATGTGACAGGGTCACTTCATCTTGGCCATGCCCTCACTAATGCTGTGGAAGACTGTATTACAAGATGGTAAGGAAATGCCCTATATGCTGGCCATGACTAGTGTAGTGTCTCTCTGGATTTGGAGACTGACTTCCTTAACTTACAAAACCACATCTTTATCAGTGCTGCAATTATATAAACCACTACTTGGCTTTGTTGATATATCCTAAATTAGTAGCCTACCAAATCCTGTTTATTTGTAAACTAATATGAACGTGATTTCTCTAACTAGGAATCGTCAGATTGGAAAGACAGCATTATGGAATCCAGGGTGTGATCACGCAGGAATAGCCACGCAGGTAATTGAACCCTTCAGCACTTGTTATGTTTTGTATAATTCTCTCTTACTGCTTCTCGTTAAATTTCCTTTTACAACTTGTAAACATAATTTGATTTACAATGTCAACCCCTCCACCCTTGCACCTTCTAGTTGATAGAATTGTGGATGAAGTAATGAAATTGAATTTGTGAGGAGGAGGTCCTAATAATCATTTCTACAAATTTATTGGTTAACCACAATAGTCTTACTGACCTACAATCTTTCATGGCTGCAATAAATCTGATAATTCCATAAGAGACTTTTTCAGATTTTGAATGAACTCAATATGTACATCATGGGACAGTACTTTAAGAGTTAGATCACTTTTAGTCAGGGCTTTACTCTTCTTTCAGGTAGTCCTGTATGTAATTCCATGGAAAGACTTAATTCCTTTTCACTCTTTACACACTAACAACAGTATACATATTCACGATACTGTACCCCATACATTTTTTAAGGAACTGTCAAAGAGAATTTGTTTAACAATCACCAGCTTCTTAAGTTAGTGATCATTTCCTCATTTCCTTTGTTCTGATGAACTAAACATGTGACTCAGGGGTAATATTGCAGAAAGAAATTAGATGCTAGTCACTTAGGGGTCAGAGGGTTAAACATTGATTTTTGGGAATGGCTAAGATAACATGAAAAAAAACCAAAAGAAGACTTTATCTTTCATTTTAAATAAATTTAATATTTACCTGATAACTTTATTTTTAAAAGCAGCAAATAATTCTTGACAATAGTTTACTGGATGAATGTTTTGTTTCTTTAGGTTGTGGTGGAAAAGAAGTTGATGCGCGAACAAGGTCTATCGCGACATGATTTGGGAAGAGAGAAATTTGTAGAAGCGGTGTGGAAATGGAAGAATGAGTAAGTTATTTTTCCTGTCATTGTTGGCAAATAAAAGTTGACTCTGAAAGTTTGTAGCACCTGATAGATTTTTTTCCATAAAACTGAGAAATTACAAACACTTTGTTTTGATTCTGACAGGTGAATTGTGTACTATCCAATCACAATGATTGAAAAACCTCAAAACCCCAAATTTAACAATTGTTGCTGTTTGTATAATTTTAGCCTTTTCTACACATGACTGGCTTTTTCTATGACTACCATTGACATTCCACAGATATTTCTGATGTTCTTTGTTTTCCAAGTTTCACAACAAAATATCATTGTACAACCAGAGATTGTACAAATTAAAAGTACAAATGAAGAAATTAACAGCGATTTCTAAAATGTGTAAATTCATTTTCTCAACAGAAAGGGCGATCGTATCTATCAGCAGCTGAGAATGATGGGAGTTTCTGTTGACTGGGATAGAGCTTGTTTCACCATGGATCCTGTGGGTGAACTTTTGTTTGTTTGTTTGTTTGTTTTATGTAGTCAGACCATACACAATTTGTCCACTTTTAGGAGATTTGGGCAGCACTTTTGACTTTTAATCTCAACCCTTTAACTCCCATGAGTGACCAAGAAAGAATTTCTCCTTTCAATATCAATATAATATCAAGTAGACTAGTTATGAGAATAAAGGAAAATATCAATCAGGGGATAATTTATTAGTTGATCCAATACTAGATTCTCTGAGTTAACATGATGAGAATTGTATAACAGGCAGTAAGAAGATTTACTAACAAGATTGTGGGAGTGAAAGAGTTAATTTAATGAGAGGCAATACTCTTTAAGAAAAGAGGTATTAAGTCTTAATTTGTTTACAGTGAAATGTACATCTTCCAGCTAAAATCATGTCATTTATTTATTTACACATCTTTGTTTGTGTTTCATCTTATCAGAAACTCAGCAGGGCCGTGAAGGAAGCATTCATTAGACTCCATGATGAAGGACTCATCTACCGAAACAGACGGCTGGTCAACTGGTCATGTACCTTGAATTCTGCCATCTCTGATATTGAGGTAAACATTCCAATTAAAATAGAATTCACTTCATATAGATCCAGCAACAATATCTGCAGGGTGTAAGGAAACATGGAAGAATTATGGCAGAGGGTAGAAATTAAAAGAGTAATTGCTACAAATGGTATTAAAGCAATGTTGTCAATCTTGAATAATACCCCCATAATAAGTTGGCAAAATTCTCAAATTTTAGGTTGACAAAAAGGAATTACCTGGAAGAACACTGCTACCTGTCCCAGGTTATGAAAACAAAATAGAGTTTGGAGTATTGGTGCATTTTGCTTACCCTGTGGAAGGTTCAGGTATTTTTTATTATTATTATTATTATTATTATTATTATTATTATAGAATTCTCAAATAGGAATTTTGATTCATCCGTAACTCGTTTCTATGTTAAAATAAGTCAAAATCTTTGGTTGATTTTTCATTTCCAACTTCCCAGTATGAAAGACAGAGATGCTGCAGGGGATTGTGTTAATCATAATTATATTTTATGTTCTTATTGCAGATGAGAAGCTGATTGTTGCCACCACTCGTGTGGAAACAATGTTGGGTGATACAGCCATTGCAGTGCATCCAAATGATCAGAGATACAAGGTTAGGAGGATAATATACATGTAACTGGGATTAACAATTATCCAATTGATAGAAAAAATTAGATCCGCCTTTTCCAATCAATGCTTGAGGAGTAAAACAAAGTCATGTGGAATTCAAGTTCTCACTGAGTACAAAAACTTGTGAATTTCA